AGAATTCAAACTTCACTGTTCCATTGAACTGAGGAGAGAAAATGACTGAAAAGTGAACACCTCATATTTTACAGTCAGATTTCATTTTGTTCACTAATTGGCTTGTTATTTTTGCAACACAACAATCTGTCCGTTTTCTTACATAAAGTGCTGACATTAATTCGGTCATAAAATTCAAAACTATTGCCCAGAGTCACATTTTAATCGCTATGCTTACCATTAACCTCTTTATCCTCTCCAACTGATCCCGATGTTCCCGACCAATCGGCTGTGGATATCGACACCGTTAAAACAACTGCAAATAACTGAAGCAGTTTAGCTGTGCCAGTCATTTTCTCACTTGAATGTACCCAATAAACTATGTTTAATCTGAAACAATTGAAACAATTTCAAGTCTTTTGCGATAAAAAAAAAGAGGAGGATTAGATCCATCCGCTGAAGAATTCAATCCATTACCATCAAGACAGAGGGAGCCTTAACTGGGACAAAAGTTTACTGCATGGTCACATTCATCTCCAATTATTTTCATAGACTCTAAAGGGTGAGTGAANGAAACTGACGCACGGCATCGAAGCTTGTGTTTCTCAATTAACTTGTTCCGTATCGAAGTTCAAATTATATTCATAGTGGAAAAAATCAAAATCTGACAATGGAACGAATATGCGTAATACAAAAGAGAACCGTCGCAATAGCACCATTTTGCGAAACTAAACTAGACTGAACGTAAGAAGTGTTTTCAAATGAAACGAATATGGATGGCATCGACGAATAACAGAAATGAATAACACACCTTTTTTGGCCTATTACCACTGAGTTAGATCTGAAGAAGACGACACCACCGAGACTATTTGATCGAACGATCAACTACATCGTTTCTGTATGCCAAAATTTGGTCCAGTCAGCGTATGAGCAATATCCGAACAATACCGAGCAGCATTTAATCTATCAAAAGTATTCCTACCATTAAAACTTAAAACTCTCCGCTATTCCATCAGAACCACCTATTTGCCACTTGTAGTTTTTCAGAATTATTCGTAGCTAGTCCTTATTTATCATCAATTGCCAGAGAATTCATTAACAATTGAAACTAATAAAATTAGTCGAATCATCGTTGTTTGAAGTAATGTGAACAAGTGTTCAGATCAATTGATTGTGTCCATTGTTACAGTTTATCATACAGATCACAACGTCATTTCATTGAACGTTCAGATCACTTAGGTTAATGCATTCAAAAAAGAAACGAGATATATGACAATGTTTTGAAGTAGTTCGTTCCAGTCCACCAGATTTTTAACGGTACCGTGCTGATGAGCGCTTGCTTCATCGAAACTTCTCATCAAAACAAATTTATCTGGTGATATTGATTTTAGTGGTTCAACCACTGGAATCGTAAATTTTGGCATTGCTGTACTACATTCAAATTCAAGGACTTCAATTAAGCTTCAGTTCAAGCACATACTTATTTCGATAAATTCCGATGACGGTTTAATCATTTGAACTGAATCAAATGTGCCAGGAAGACTTGACTGTAACTCATGTTTATGTCATGAACAACTTTCGCTGTTCACCTGAATTCACCTGAATCCATTCATTCCACGGTTAAAATCGATGTTAAAATCGAATGTTTTTTTTTTGAAATTTATGATTGAATGATTTCAGATTCGCTCTACTGACAAACCAGTTCAAAATGAACTTCAAGACTTTTAGTTGTGGTCTATGCATCACGTTTTTCATTCTTATAACTGTTTTGGGCAACAGTGAGGCTTCGAAGAAGTCGGCAGAGATCGAGAACAATTCGAATGCTAAAGGTAAAAACACGCAATTCGCTTAAGCATCAAACGAAGTTAAATTATAGTATCCTTCTTATGCAATCACACTGATGCCAGATATTTTCAATATATTTTCTTCAGAATATTAATGAATTGGTCTGTGATGATTAATCGCAACTCAGGTAAGAATGCAGTGACGAAGAGACCGACGAAGATTAAAGTCACGGAACTTCAATACGCCCAGGTGGTAATCGAACGTTCCAACTCCACTGATAATGGTACTACTGAAGAGCATGTAGAAACGACCACCTCTAAGAATGTAAGCAAGAAACCAGCTGCTAAGAAATGTGTCACTGGAAAGGTTTGCTTCGGTGATCGTGATTGCGCTAAAGGTAAATTAATATTGCAAATCGATTGCTTGAACTTACAATCAAATTGCAATCAGATTTACATAAGTTAGGCGATGACTAATGATCTGATCAGATTGGAGAAATGGTAATGTTCATTCAGTTAAGCAAGTCAATTAATTTATTGTGAACTGGTCAAATAAGGTTAATTTCAGGACGTTGTCTTGGTATTGCGGTCGGTAAATGTGATTGTACAGCATGCTTGAATTTAGTGCCATGTAAGAACGATAAGGCGTGTGGAGGTCTGCTTGGTTCGTGCGATAAGAAGACAAATTATTGTAACTGTTTTGAAGGTTAGTAAGTTGAGGAATTTCGATGCGATTCTTATTGGTCAGAAGAGATTCTGAACTATTTGAGGGTGTCGAATTCAAATGAATCCGAACTCAATCGCGAATAAATTTAATTTGAGGAATCGAATTTTTGATTAGCCGATGAAATTGCAGAGTTGTTTTTTTAATGGCTAGATCATTATGGTGTCTTCGAATGGGCAAGTTGTGATTTTAAAGACATCATGGATTTTTTTTTGGAATAATTTCATTGATGAAGGCATTTGGAAGAAGCTCTTCCTATGGCAAAGGAGGCAGAAATCTAAGAATATTGTTAGGCAAGCAATATTTTCGAGTTTTTGATAACACTAAGGCATTGAGAGCAGTCAACTTTCTTCTGAAGAAAACACAACAACATTTTTTGATCAATCCTTTTTCAGTCCGCATTGAACTCATCTCTAAAACAACTCCTTCATGGGTTCACTACGATTGATGTTATCAATTTTTCTACTTCATCAGTCATAATTATTTCCCTAATTTTGCTTTCGGTTGTTCAGGTTATAAGAAGAACGGGTTCGAAACATTTTTCGATGCACTCAATAAGTTCTGCGGTGTAAAGAAGTGCACTCAAAAGAGTGACTCATGCTTCGGACTGCCATGCAAACCTGGTTTTTGTGTTTGTTGATCAGCCATAAACTCGGTTTCCATGTATGCGGATCACCCGTAATCCCGGTTTCTTTATATATCGACAAACCAATGATCACTTATTTCGCTGCATTTGTGACTGTTTATTTGTTCG